TGAAGCTCCTTTAGTCGCGTGCACGTCGAGGACGCATCGTTGTTCGAGGCAACAGTCCCGATAGATTGACACCACCAGGACGATTCAAAGAAGGCTTCCCGAGCCCTCTTAGCTCCAGTCAGCCTATGCACGCCTTCCAGCTAGCAAATACGGAGGCTCACTGGCCGTTGTCAGCGGGCTTAGGGACAGCACCACCGAATCGAAAACTCTGGCGGAGCAGATCCGTGGAGTGCATGCGAGGAGGAGGGCAGGGTTATCGCGCCCACGACGAGTCCTTCCTACAATCCTGATTTGTCGACTGAATATCTACGATTGCGTAGGATGTGCGAGCCTGGCTTGCCCCACTGGCAGGACCGTATCATCCGTCGTCACGACCTCGCCACTAAAAGAACGAAAACTTGCAGCCCAACTTCCAAGGCCAGATATTCCGAGGCCATAGAAGAGTTGTTCATGTATTTTCCCGCAGGATGGATGAGCATTCCAAGACCAGTGCGTGGGCTGACCGTCGTCGACGTTGTCGTGAAGTTATCGGGCACGTTTCGCCAAAAGTCCAGATCTTCGTCGAGCTGCCATATCGCTGGAGCGCGTGCCGAACGATACAATTGTCGTTCTTTCGAGCCGTGCGCTCGACGACTGTATTGACAGTAAGCCGCAGGCTGCGTGAATACATCGATGAGAAAGCCGAGTCACGGTGGCCAGCAGCCACCGCGGCCCTGCCCAAATTAGTGTTGGCCTACCGCAAATAGGGCTCCGTTCGGATGCATGGCCGCGTCGCGGCCAACGACGCCAAAACAGTCTTTCAGCCAATCGCGTCTCACTAAAAGCACTGCCACGCGGCCGAGCTGGCTGTGGCGCCTTGAGAGCGCCGCGACGCGGCCGTGCAACCGAACGGAGCCTAGAGTTTCGGCGTTGCCACGAAAGCGACCCGCCAGCTGTCGCGGTCGATAACAATGACATGACCTACACCAAGGGGCCAACGCGGGTATTACCGACGACGTCAACCCTATTGTCGTTGTCCCTTTCCAAGTTTACGGGGTCCCGACTTTCACTTTCTTGCACGGTTTGCGTGCACTTTCTATTTGCGATTTCCCAGAGCTGTATTAAAATCTGAATCTTTTTCTGTACCGTTGAGTAGCATCCTAGCACAGGTCTACATACTTTTTGAAGTGGTGGGACATACGCTATATCTTTGATAAATGCATCAAGCAAAATCTGAGGACGCGAGCTGTAGACCACTTGCCTGATTCGGACAAACGACGCAGTGTGTCTGAAAACCGGCGATACGAGACAGTCCTCGTTGAATGGTGCAAGGATTGCTGGTAGTCTTGAATTTGCAGTTGTATATTGTATTATGTGGAGTCTGTACCCTGTCAAAGTATCTGGTGCTTTCTACACATCGGCAAATTTGAGGAAATATGTATCCATCAAGCCCTACGGTTGCATGGTCACAACGGACCTTTGGCAAAGATGCGCCCACCAACAGCTCTGTCAAGAGAACTACTATATTATAAGCACTGTTTATAACCAGTCTTATGCATCAGGAAGTAGAGAGGTGTTCCTGTATGTCTGAGTCAGTGCAGAAATATCATCGACTGAGAAGTGTTGGGGATCTTTCAAAACTGAACAATGTGATCTTAGGGATCAAAGATATATATAAGTAGTTATAAGCTATTACCTATGTGTACATGGATGACAGAGGCTTGTTGATTCCCGACAATCGACCACACAAAACATAAACCCAGGCAGAAGAGGAGCCGCCACAAATTGCCTTATCAAGGTGGTCCTCTCTCTTACGTGATGCTTTCGGGGTCCTGTTCACTTTAGGGGGTTGCCGTCGCGCGTTTTCTGGCCGTTGGCCCCTTGAACTACACCGTCTCTCGATGCAATTCAAGGTTAACTTGACTAGACAACTCTGGTCTGTAAGCGAACATGGTGCAAGATATTCTGAGATGGCGCGTTACATGCGGCGATCGCCTCAGCAGAAATTTCTAACATTCACGTTTGTTCTTGAACTCTGAAATACTGCGTTTGATCTGAGCTGGGGGGGATCTTGGTAGGTTGTGTACGCAGCATTGGCGAGTAGGGTCTCGGGACTGGAAAGTTCGCGAGAAAGTGGCTGACGTGTCGGACACAAGCTTTCGGTCAACGGTCGGTCTAACTCAGGCGGATAGCCATCATAATTGTATTCTACAATTACGCACAGGCATGAACAGAGCGTCCGCGTTACGAAGTAAGGCACTGGGAACCAGGAATCTCGTGACTAGCGACAGCTAGGGTGGACGATTCGTCCGCGCGTCCGTGAGCGGGGACTCCTACAATTCCCAGCACAGATATTGATACCTACGTCCCGTATCGTGCCCGCGGATATAAGCTAATTCGTCGCTCAGCTCAGGAGTCGCGCCAAGTGATACCAGTCATGTAGGCAGCTCCTGGACAGCTCGGACGCTGTTCGAGCGAGGCCTGTTACATATCATCGCCGCGCGGGTAAGTCCGGGTGATGCTGGCCCGAGAATATCAGCTCTGACCTCCCCCATACAGGTGTCACCGGCCTCCTATTGCACACGCCTGGAAAGGCGGCACATACTACAGTCCGCTCAATAGCATGCATCGGAGACGCACTCACCAACCACCCTTGCAGGCGAACATCCCATGTGCCGTGTCCCAGAAAGAAACCGCAGACGCCTAGGGCCGTGCAAGGGATCGGAATCCGAACACGTCCTTACTCCACGCTCGCGGACCTGCTCCCGTGGCCGACCCGTTATGACACCCCGGCGGACGCGCGAGCTGCTGTCGACGTCTGGGTTCGCCTGGCTTCAATTTTGCGTGGGGTTACCGGCCGATGCTGACGCCAGTCCCTTTGAGATTCAGAAGCGTCGGACTAAAGCGCAAAAAAATCACCCGCGCCGCGCGAGAGTCAGCCCCATTGTGTTCGCGAACGAAACGAATTCGTCCGCACCCGCATAACTGTGTCTATGAGCAACGCGTCGCCCGCTGCGCACCGCGCACCCGAGCGCCGGGGCGCTCGTATCCTCGCGACCACGTATCTCCTCTTCGTCCCACCCTCATCTAACATCCACCAGTCCTTCATGACAGACTCAAATTGAAACCTGAAGAGTCTGAGAGGAGAACAAGCATTTGCGTGCTGAATCGGCGCTGGGAGGGAATTGACTGGATTTCGGTTCTTTTCTTTGAAGTGTGTCGCGCCTTGATGTAACATCGCATTCGTATCGAGAACGATTTGCAGCCCCCTGCCCTTGATGTTTGTGGTGACAAGAGTCACAAGACCGCTTGCATAGGATTTGCTACTGGATGCCCCTATTACTTATCGGAGAGGTTACAACGACGTCGACCAGGACTCTGTTCGTGCAGCAACTGCCCCCCTTTTCGAGGGATACGAACTCCTGCATGAATAGTGCGGTTATCCCTGGATCCCCAGCAGACTAAGACATAAAACAACGAGCTTCAGGGCTGATAGGTGAGAGCGAGCAGTAGGGAAGACGTGTGTCGTGGTCCGACACGTCAACAGCGCTGGCGAGTGTGTGGCTTCGCACGTTCCGCTTGTTTCCGGCGAACGTCAATTGGCCACGATTCTCCTCGTTCTGCAGTTCTGAGCTGTGGCTCTGTGCGCACTGCCCTTGCGTTCGAGCTCTTCCTCGAGCTCATGTGTAGACGTTCATATATTTTCATATCTTCGAGCGCTGCCCAGAGTTTCGTTCGGAATATTCGTTACGCTCGTCTCCAAGTCAAAGGAAAATACCACATACCCGCTAGGCTGGTTGTCATGATTGCAGCGGAACTCAATACATAAAGGCACGTACATTGTAACCAATCAAAGAAGAGAACATGCGAGGGAGGAACTTGGTCGACTCGGTGAGTTCGCCGCAAGCGCCGACACATCGAAGTCCGATGCTCGTCCAATGCCACTGCAACCATTCAAGAGTCCATGCTTTGTGACAGCCACCGCACGTCAACGCGCCAAAATGCGGAACACAGACCGCCATGCTTGAATATATCAATATTAGCCTTACCTGGCCACAGTGAAGTTCATTTCGAAGAGGGATATACTGCAACCGAACGAGCAGATTTAGTTCCAACCTGCAGCGATGACTCCGGCTTCAAACGGTTTACCCCAACATTCTCTATTGACGTTTCCTACCTTAGGCTTATGTCCAGTCGAATTGACGTTCCTCCTAGATAATGGGATTAAGAATGGTTAAGCCAAAGCTAACATGGCTCACGATACTGTCGGATTAGAGGTTCCATATCGAACACATTCCAGACGTGGCTCAAGAGACGATAAAATAGAACTGGTGCACTCCATGCTGCTATTTGGCCAGTCGTATAGAGCCTAGCGTTCGACATCTCTAAGAGATTGTGGTATACACCACCACCTCCAGTCGCGATCGTCCTCAGTCTCAAATAAATTCGTGCTTCCAAACGTGACCGCCGTGGACACAGTGAGGACTGCGCCACTGCACCGAGACTAGTGGCTTTCTAGTGGCGGGTGTCGTGACTTCCAATGATTCGCATAAGGCAGGGAGGATTGCAATGGGGGTATGTAGAAAGACTAAAGACATAGCAAGGTACTCAAGAAAGTAGAAGATAAAAGAGCGCCAGGGACCAAGCATCGCCAGGATAAACATATAGCTCGAACTTCCCAGGCCCTAGACACCCCGCGCCACACGAACCACACCGACATCACCAAATCCAGCGTTCAGAACCACCACCCCCTCTTCCAGGCAGCGCTGTGGCGGCCTAGAATCCAAGGAAGTGAGTCACGGCTAGATGACACAGAGGATCGCCTGAGTAATACCTTCGGGGATATAGAGAGATGCGTAGCAATTGCACCAAAGCGGGAATAAGAGAAGTTGCGTTTGCGGCAACCGTCGGACCGATGCGACCCTTGACCCTTGATCAGTGATAAGAGGAGCGACTCCCGTCTCACCCTACTCACTCGCCGACTTACCTCGACATTCACTTCACCATCGCTCACAATCGTCATGTCTTCCACCAAAGTGCTCTTCTTCGGCGAGCAGACGAGAATAAATCCAGTACAATTAGGCCACTATGCCACCAAACACGTTATCGATCAATCTAGAGTCGTTGAAGCGACGGTGGCACATGGACTTACCACTGACCAGACCGCGACGCCAACGAACGCCAGTGTGACGGTGAGCGCGATTTCCCTGTGTTGCGAGCTTTCATTTGCGGATATCTAACTTCAGTTGTTAGTCGAGTCCCATAACTCGCCAAACTCCTGACCTGCATGAACGCCATGTCTCCATGCCACCCGCTGTGGCCGGCAACACGACCTCCCTCTGCGACACGGCCGCCGCACCGACTCAGCAGAAATGCTTGGGACCAGAGCAAGCCTTTCCTCGCTTCACGCCCAATTTGCCGCCTCGACTAAGGAAGGCAAGACCAGGTCGGCGCGAGCGAGCACTTCTACGCTTCCAACGGGAGGCAGGTCTTCTCCAGGAAACCGTCACCCAGCAGCAAAACCAGGCGACTGCCCCTATAGCAGGTCATGGCACTGTCGAAGCATGGATGGGAGCAACAAATGTCGTGCTGTCATCGCCGGGGTCCAACGGAATAGGCGAAGTATCCCGTCCCACACCGGGCGACCTGCCTCCTCGTCGGAAGGCGAGGCCGGGAAGACGAGAGCGAGCCTTGCGACGCCTTCAGCGAGAAGCGGAGATTCTTCAGGACCCCTCCATGTTGCAGCGGGTTGAGGCACCTGGCCTGCGCCCGGGCCCTGATCCGACTCTGTCGCCGACGCCGACGCCGACGACTCATGCGGATGCGTCCTCACTGGTGGTAGAGGGGGATGCAGTAGGGAAAGACGGTGTTCAGTCGTCGCACGACCAGCAGCTAGCCGAACCCGTGAGCACTCTGGCTCAAGGCCAAGCAGACGACGTTGAGAACGCTGCCGCCTCGCAGCACGACCAGCACTCCATTTCCCCGCCTCCTTACGACCCGATCGCGCTGGGACTGGAAGCGGCGCGATTTATCCTGCAGCAGCATGGATCAAGCCAGTACCCGACAGAGGCGATGGCGCACGATCAACCACAGGAACGACACCTCGTGGACTGGGCGATCCAATGGCAAGAGGCCGCGTCAGGACTTCCGAGGGACGGTGCGTCAACGGCTACTGTGACGCTGCCTCAGATCCATTCCGAGCAGGCTGAGGGCGGCGCACCCCTGGGGATGGCCAATGTCGAGAGCTTGCCCTCGCACCACTGGCAGCCGCAGCCGTTCACGCCAAGCATGACTCTCAACCAGGGCGGAGAGGTACCTATTGGCAATTTGCAGAACGACGAGTACGAGGCGCCGTACGCCTTCCCCAGCGAGTGGCCCGTCCCTACGGCACAGCAGGCACCTGAAATGGTGACGCGAGCACCATACGAAACGCCTATGGG